TGTGTTAATTATTGAAACTGTCCTGCCAATTTGATTTGAAACTCTCTCATTGCTATTTGTTTCTCAATAAAATTATGAAAAATAAATAAATAAAGAGGAAGTCTCTCTACCCAAAGTTTGTTTTCTGCAGTTGTTTTTCAGCAGCAAATTTTGAATGGGGAATCAGACTTTCCAGATCATACAGTCATGTTAATGTTATAAAAGAACAGAAATGGACTTTGATTTGTTCTATTCTTTTACCATATTATTTCTTTGTTCATAGAGCAAAATATTATCATTCTTTCAGGGACATTCTAATGAATGCCATTAATCTATAATACTTTCCAAGCAACTCCAACATACTAAACTGCCCTGATAACTTGGTTAGTTTCTAACTAAATAACAGAGGTATTTAATGATATGAATTTAGGATTTTTTTATATACACCAATTTAAGCAAAACTTCCAGTATCAATGGATACCCTCTTTTGGTTCCAAAAGTTCCATAAATCCAATATCTTTAGAAATTTGCCTCAGAATACTTTTCCTGTTGCAATATGGATCTTCACAGTTTTCAAGTTCAAAAATATCTTTTACCTCAAAAATTCCTACATGTAGGTTATTATTTGCTTTAATTGTCTATATAGTTTTAATATTCATAAAAATTATAGCAAGTCATTTGAAATACGGGTGATACAAATATTCCCGCGGGAATACTGGCCGAGCTATCATCCTCCTAGTTTGCGCAGGAACCGCTAGAGTTTCACTTAGTCCCAAATGGAGCCTTTAGTTCCACCACCAAAAGTCCATCGTGACAGAGGATGGCAGACAAATCTTTAGTTTCCACTCCATCTGGCAGTTTGTACTGCCGGGTGAAGCTCCGTGAGATAAAGCCGTGCTCATCCATTCTGGTTCCGTGCTGAGCTTTGATCAGCAGCCAGCCCTCAAAGGTCTGAATGATGATGTCTTCGGGGAGGAACTGGCCCACATCCAGCAGGATCTGGAAGTGGGATTTGCCTTCTCCGGGTGGCATTTCTGCCATCGCTGATTCTGCTGGCTACAACTGCGGTGCTGCCCTGGCTTTGCTCAGGTCCACGACGGCTGGCCCGGGCAGGGCATACAAAGCGTGATCCAGCCTGCTGTCTTCTAAACCTCAAGCTTCGAACTCCTCCTGGTAACGCACTGGAGTCTCCACGAGGTGCCTCAAGATGATTTTCGCCATAGTGCAGCCCAGGCAGCAGTGCACGATTCCCTTCAGCAAGTGCTGAACCCTGGTGCCGGCTCCGACCAGATCCCCGGTCTGAGCAGCTATTCATTTACAGCCCTCCCCAGACGCAAGCACTCAGTGAGGCCCGAATCAGACCAGGCACACTCACTCTTGTCTTTTTAGGCCCTGACAATGAGTAGCTATTTATAGGAGTCGTTTTGGAGTTGCATTTAGCACACAGCCTGCTCAAGCTGCCCAAGCAAGGATCACCCTGGCATTCTCAGTTATCCTCGGCAAATGTGTCTGCCTTCCTTACTTCCAGGGAAAGAGAAGAATGGCAATCAGAAACTGCATTGGAAAACTGTGGGCGAGTGGGTCCTCTTTTTGAACAGCAGATCTAATGAGATACAAGTTAGAACAATAGAGATTTGCAAGCTCATTTTATGAGTTAGTACAAATACAACGCTGGGGGAGAAGACTGTAATTAAAACTGATGAGGAATTAAGACACACACACACACACACACACACACACACACAATTCAGATTCATTCAGTAAACTCTCAGCTCTTGGTCCTATACATTTTCTTTTCTTTATTGTTTGCTTTAGTTCTGACTTCACAAAAATACTCACCTAGAATTCCTCACTCTTGCTTATGACATACCTGAAGTACATTTGATGGAAGCAATAAGGAGAGAATTTTAATGTGCTTATATAATCCATAATGTACATTCAAAAGCAATTCACAGTTAGGGGTAACACATTTTACATAACCACAGGCTCGCAATGTACTAATACTCTCATCACTGTACTGGAACCTGAAAGAAATATGCATTGAATATTAAAAAATCATTTTTCAATCTTCAATATAATAAATTTTTCCTTGTTATTTTACAGTTGCTTTTAGACAACAATTCTTCTTACTTTCTCTATACAGCAGAAGTGTAGTAAATCTCACAGCCACTGCATAAACTAAAAGTACCTCCTATTAAAAGAAGGAATATATGATTTCCAGTCTCCTAAATTCTGGCTATCAATTGCCTTTAAGAACTGTGCCCAAAAGCATCTCAAATTCCATCTGCACAAGACTGAGCTCTTTATCTCTTCTCCAGTCATATTTTTGGCCATTTTATAGGATAATTATTCATTATCTTATAGCCCAAAAATTTGAGTCCTTTGACTCAGCTCAGATGTCTTTGAAAAACAGCCATCTATCAGTCATAAAATTCTCCAGATCATTCTACATAAAGTTTACGAAAGCTTCATGTTTCTCCCACCCTATTTTGCTGCTAACGCTTCCTGGGTAAGTTCTAATCCAGCACTACATACCATTTCTAATTCCTTAGGACTACATACTAGGCAAATCAAAGCAACATTATTGTCTCACAGTTCTGAAGATCAGAAGTCTAAATCTGTGTGTCAGTAGGACATACACTCACTGTTGGTACTTGGGAAAAGCTTACTTTGCCTCTTCCAGCTTCTGTAGCCCCAGGTGTCCCCTGGCTTAGGTAGCGTAACTGCAGTCTCTACCAAGTCTTCCCGTGACTTTCTCCCTGTGTCTTTTTATATCATCTTCCTTCCATGCTTGCCTGTTTGTGTCCAAACTTCTTCTTAAAAAAGACCCCAGTCATACTGGAGTAGCACCCACCCTAATGGTAGCATTCTAACATGCTCACCTCTCTGAGATCCCTATTTCTAAATAAGGTCACATTCATAAGCAATGGGAGACTGGGGAGATAGCTCAGTAGAATAAGCGCTTGCCTGGGAAGCGCAAGGGCCTGAGTTCAATCCCTCGTTCCGTCAAAAATTAAAAATATATATTTAAAAAAACATAAGTAATGGGAGCTAGAAGTCCAGCCTACTCTTGGAAAAGGGGTAGGATGGACACTGTCCAAACGTTGATGTCATCTGGACAGGAGAAATTCTTATATCTCCTGCTAATCATTTTTATTGCTCATGCTAATCTTTCCTTCATGTCTCCCTCAGGCATGCCCTCTCTCCCACGTTACAGTCCACCTGAGTCATCTTTCCTCACTCCTAATGTCAGGTGACAATGCCTCTATGACAGGGATTTCATAGTCTCCAATCTCTGTTCTGTTCCCCAAAATTATTAAGCATCTCCAGGGTTCCAAGTATGGAACGGAGGCCCCCAGAGGATCAGTACAGGGATGGGAGAAGGGATGCAGAATGATGCCCTGAGATGTAGTAAGAGTAGAATTAGAAGCCAGGAAGATATGAGTGTGTGTTTGTGTGTGTGTATGCACACACACACACACACGCGGGCGTGCATGTGCACATGCACACATGTGCACACGACCACATGCGTATTGAATGACACAAAGTGTTCAGGGAACACATTCATCCCTGTGCATCTGTGGTTTCTGTATCCATGGATTCAGCCAACTACAGATAGAAGAATAAATTTAAATCACACCTGTACTAGACTTCTACAGATTTTTTTCTTGCTATTTCCCTCCAGCAATGCAGAATAGGAATGATTTACATATTTACCTTGTATTTGGTATTAAAAGTTACATACAGGTGATCTAAAATATATGAGAGGACCTGCATAAGTTATATGCAGATATTAAACTGTTTTACATGAGATTGAGCCACTGTGGATTTCAGTATTTATGGGGATTCCTGGAACCAATTCCCTATGAATATGGAAGGGCAACTGTACTATGAATATTGATAAAGGCAGCAGAATCTAGAGAAAAAAATTAGATGTAGTGTGTGTGTGGGTGTGTATGTGTGGGTGTGTGTGACATATAACAATAGTAGCTGTTTTGAATTGCCTACCACTTATTCAAACTGATATACAATACAGTGCCATCATGTTTGTCCTTAAATGTGCTAGGTTATTTTTGTTGGCAAGCTTCTTTTTTCCTGGCCTTGAAGTGTAAAATCTTCATCTGTGTCTAGCATTTATATCTTGGGTTCTCATGAAAAGGGAAGAGCACAACCCAGCACAAAGGCCACTCTAAGGAACCTTTTTCTTAACTTTTATCCTTTTCTCTTTCAAAGCTACAGTCTTAAAGCTTTGCTATTTGAAGAAAGAAGTGTCCATGAACGTGATTGGTATTAATATAAGCCACGAAAAAATGGAAAATTTAACAAGGAAGTTGGTTGCCAGTTAGGAGGATTGACTTGTTTTCATTTTAAGTTATATATAGTTATATATAGTTATATATATATATATATATATATATTCATATTCATAGGGATGATATATTTAGGAAATTTATCGTAGCTAAAAATAGAAGCATTGGCATTTTCAAGGAAGTTTAAATGCTGCATTGTATCCCATTTTCTTACTTCATTTCATACTTTTCATATCTTGGGACCCAGTGTGATCCTTAAAAGAAAAAACAAAAACTGATACATTTTTTTAAAAATGACTTGGGCCAGTCCAAAATTTAAATTAGTGCACAATTCATGTGACTTAAAGGGCACTATTAGGCTTATGGCCGGCGACATTAGCTAGCGCTCATTCTACTCTCTTTAACGGGGAAGCAGTGGACTACAAAGAGACTGAACTGTATCTGCCTCTATTTCCAAGACTCATGTTCAACTTTCACTCACAAAAAGCCGGGAAAATTTTATTAATCCTTTTTTTAAAAAAGTTAA